CATGTATATGTACTTTGTTTGATTTAAACTTTGAAGGGTTGCAAATCTGGCATCTCTCCTTTTCCGGTAGTTCCAGTAACCCTGGTTGGTAGCTCTCAAAATAGTTCAGTGCTTTCCTCTACCAGAACAAAAACACCAATATCTGTAGTTCAAACATCTTTCACATCAAGTGCAAATAAAGTGGATCAGAATGGACACTCTTCAGAGTATGAGGATGTCAATTCAAAAGATGGTCCTCAAGCCTCCTCTCATGCTCAGCCTATCAGCAATTCCATAATTCACAGTTCACCTTCTTTTACACATGAAGTTGCTGGTAAGTTTTACAATACTGTGGACGTAGTACTCATTCAAATTATAAAGAATGATATGAAATAAATTAGGATTAAGTTTGTTATGTCAGTTGTGAATTAATTTCATCAGAAGTGCTTCCCTATTGCCATTATTTTTATCTTTTGTGACAAAGTAAGGATGCTTTTAAAATGTATTGTTTTGTGCTAGTGATCTTTCTTAATGCTCTTACACCGAGTTACTTGGTTTATTATATTTGAGGGATTGTTTTCATTTTGATATTTGAATTTTAAGACCTTTTAATGTAAATTTCACCAATAAAAGTGTTGATTTATTTTAATTCATCTTGAAATGCAATCATTATTTTATTTTGTATTGTTGGATGAGATTTTAGTGACAAAGGCAATGCCTATTGCCTTGGTCCTCCTTCACTCTCATCGTGCCTTTAACTGTATCTTTTCATTCTGGCCCATGCAAATGGTACTCTTGGGCTATTATGGTTGACCATATGGCAGTTTTATATGAGTTTTTAATGTGGCTCATGCCATTTTACTTTTATGAATTAGGGTTTTCTGAGTTGGTGAGGAACCCCTTGATTTCAACGTTGTCATCTACTTTCCCTAGCTATTCTCCTGGTACTGTCTTCTCTCAGAGGACGTTAGTTCAGAATTCTTGCAGAAACAAAATTTATATGCATGATGAAAGACATCATAACGAAGGATCTGTTGAAAGCTCGGAAGCTGACTTCACTGTTCATCTACTAAACAAGGCTAAGATAGATGCTGTTAACAGAATGCAAGATGGTGTAATTTTCAGAGATAGCCACATGTACATCCAACAAGTTGAAGAAAATTTACTGACTGTTGGTCAGGTGTAGTAATTTAGATTATCAACACTTTTATAGCCTCAAAGTTTGGGTAGATTTATGCTCCTGAGTTTGAAACACAGATCTAAACAGTCCAAGTGATCATTAATTTTGTCAATGCATCTGAAATGCATGTATTTTAAAATCTCTTGGTCTATGGTGTGCCTGACTATCATGCTTGATAATATGTTCATCCGATATATCCTGTATGCTTCTGGATGTTCCAAAGGCAATGTTGTTCCTGTTGTTTCTTTTTACAGTTTAATTTCATGCTTCTTCCCAAATGTAACCTCTTTTTTAACGAATTTAATTACGCTGTGACAGGTGCAAAACGAGGATGGTCTAGATACATTCTGTGCTCAATTATATGATCATAATGATCATCCAATTGTTGCAACTACCAAAGCGCTAGTTGAACAGAAACTTAAAGATGGGGAATCAAAACAGGCTGAAACTGGGGAAATCAAGAAACTTGATAGTTTTGGAAGGTGGATGGATAAGGAGATTGGTGGAGACTGTGAAAATTCCTTGATGGCTTCAGATTCTAGTAATTATTGGAGTACACTTGGTGCTCATAATGAGGATAAGGAGGTATCTAGTTTACAACACATACAGTTGGATATGGATTCATTAGGTCCTTCTCTTTCCCAAGAGCAACTATTTAGTATCCATGACTTTTCTCCAGAGTGGGCATATACTGGGGTTAGAACAAAGGTGTGTGCCTCTTCATGCACATCCGTGAAATTTTTTGTAATTGTATATTCATAAGTTCGCCATACAAAATCTGGTTTTGATTTATTTCTTCCTTCCTTCTGTGAAAAGGTTTTAATAGTTGGCACATTTATCGGAAGTAAAAAGCCCTCTAGTGAAACCAAATGGGGATGTATGTTTGGTGAAATTGAGGTTTCTGCTGAAGCTTTAGCAGGTAATGTGATACAGTGTCAGACTCCTTTGCACTCATCTGGCCGTGTACCATTCTATGTTACCTGCAGTAATAGGTTAGCTTGCAGTGAGGTCAGGGAATTTCAATTTGATGAACATCCAACCAAATGTTTAGGTCCTTTGGGTATTAAAATCTCACCAGAAGTTGAGGTCCGACTTCAAATACGACTTCTTAAACTAGTAGACTTGGGATCTGACAATAATTTGTTGAAGTGCTCTGTTTCTGGTTGTGAAAAATGTAAACTCAAGGGAATAATGTATTCCATGAGAGGTGATAGTGGAGTATTTAAAGAAACTTTCCAGATTGATGGAATTGATCATATAAACCCTAGAGATGTACTATTTCAGAGATTAATGAGAGACAAGCTTTATGAGTGGTTGATATACAAGGTTCATGAAGGAGGAAAAGGATCACATGTGTTGGATGCTGAGGGCCAAGGAGTAATACATTTAGCAGCTGCACTTGGTTATGTGTGGGCTATGGCCCCGTTGGTTGCTGCTGGTATCAGTCCTAACTTCAGAGACAATCGTGGAAGAACAGGACTCCATTGGGCTTCATATTTTGGGAGGTCAGAACCTCTTTATGTTAAGAACTTTCCATGCTTGTGTTTGGTATTACCAGGGCATTATCTTCACCTAAAATTCATTTTGTAATTTCTGTATCATTCTGCTTGATTTTCTCACTGGATGAATAAAATTATATTCTCTATTATACTCTTAGGCATTATATGAATTTTGTTTCTCAAAACCTGAATTTTTTTCATCCATACTGGAAATTTGTATGCCTAGTTTCATGTTGTTGGGGATGATTCTCATTACATATTGTCTCCTTGCCCTTCTTTATGTTCTCATCAGCAGCACACTATTTTATTGGCTGTACAGTAATTTACATAACTTGTGAATTAATCTTACTCTTTTATGGTTCCTTCTCTCTAGAGAAGAAACTGTTATTGCTCTTGTCAAATTAGGCGCAGCACCAGGTGCTGTTGAGGATCCAACGTCAGCACTTCCTCCAGGTCAAACAGCTGCTGATTTAGCTTCAAGTAGAGGACATAAAGGCATTGCTGGGTATTTGGCCGAGGCAGATCTGATTAATCGATTATCTATACTGACTGTCAAGGAAAATGAGACTGGTAACATTGCCACAACCATAGCAACTGACAGTGCTTTTCAGTCTGTTGAAGATGATTCGTCTAATTTGACAATTTATGAGCAGCACTACCTCAAAGAGTCCCTTGCTGTGTTTCGAAAATCAGCTCATGCAGCTGCTTCAATCCTAGCAGCCTTTAGAGCAAGGTCATTCTGTCAGAGACATTTAGCCAAAAGTGGAAGTGATATTTCAGACTCAGTACTTGACATAGTTGCCGATTCTTTGAGCAAGGTACAGAACATGTATCACTTTGAGGATTATTTACATTTTGCAGCCTTAAAGATTCAAAAGAGATATCGTGGATGGAAAGGAAGAAAGGACTTTTTGAAGATACGCAACAGCATTGTAAAAATCCAGGTACTTTGTGTCGTGAAAATCATATTGATGCCTATACTCTTAACCATATACTGGGCTAATGCAGTATACACTGTATATGCATCCTTTGTGTCAATATTTTAACAATATTCTTCTGTATAGGCTCATATCAGAGGACACCAAGTTCAAAAGCAATACAAAAAAGTTGTGTGGTCTGTTAGCATTGTGGAAAAAGCAATACTTCGTTGGAGACGGAAAGGAGCTGGTCTGCGAGGATTCCGGGGAGGGCAGCCGGTTGGCATTGATGAATATGACTTTCTTAGCGTTGGGAGGAGACAGAAATCAGATGATGTAAAGAAAGCTCTCGATAGAGTCAAGTCCATGGTTCGTAACCCTGATGCAAGGGATCAGTATATGAGGCTCATCATGAAATACCAGAATTTTAAGGTACTCACCATTTATTTCCTTTTTCTGGACCATTTTTCTGTGCCAGTGAGGTGCGGGTGGCTTTCAGTCCAAATAAGTAGTGAATGGTTCATCCAGTTTTGGTGAATTGATTCAAAAAGATATAATCAGATCTTGTTGATTGAAAACAAATTTTTGATTGGTTATTTTCCTTTGCTGCTTTTTTTGGCATACTGTTGAACAGATTGATGATCGCGGAAGCACTCAATCACGTGTCGATTAGACTCCAGAGGAAGGAAAAAGCAATACTGAGCACTTTTTGTTTATAACAGATACTACATACAGGTATACTTTTTATGTAAATAGCATCTAACAAAGTTTCTAGTGTATATAGAAGTTCGGATAATTGGAAACGTGGATGAAAATTCAGGAAAACGAAGGTAGGAATGTATATTAGTAGATTGAATTGACTTGTAGAACATGGGATGGTCGCTATAATATTACTTTTTATTTATATGTTGTATGCAACTGCAATTCGTTTGTTTTAACTCATATTTTGCTCTATTAATTTATTCTATTAATGTTTGGGTTATTCGGATCAATGAGCCCTAACGAAAAAATGAAAATATTTTCCGTATGTAGTTGAACAGACATTCAATACCAACGAAAATCCAAACTTTACTATTAATTTATTCTAAATTAATTTAATCAGTGATCGGTGACTCTGAATTCATATTACAGCCGATTGAATTAATCCATGATACTTAACTTTTAAAACTAGTAATAAAAATTTAATTATGAAAAAATTAGTGATATTAATTAGGGAATTCATTGAATTTTAAAAATAATGGATAACTTATTAAGTATTCCTAATATTAAATAGATAAATTTGATCTTTTCATAAATTATTAAGTATTCTTAATATTAAATTAATAAATTTGATTAATTTCTTGCATATATAATGTATTGTTTCAATTGATATCTTTTCCCCCGTAGGAAAGTTTCAATTGGAGTAACAGTAAATCAGATAGAGACAATTAATTGGTTATCAGATGATAAATTTTACAGGAGAAAAAAAGAACGTAGAGCATACTAATACCATTGGTGGAAAATTGAAGATGACAACCTGGAATTTGTTAACTGAAAACTTGAACAAATCAAATAAGAACTTAATTTACTCCCCGAGGTGAGGGATATAATAAAGGAGAACACTTGCCAATTGGCAAATGTTATTTTCCTAACAAATGGGATATGCGTACATTTTTTCTTTGGCAAAACTATGCTTCTCTCTCGTGCGTGTGAAGAGTGTATGTACAGTTAGCTTATTTAGCCTTGTGAATTATTATCAGCAAATTTGCGGAAACGAACAGACTCGTCATTAAGACGAGAAAGACGTCGTTCGGGTTGAGACAACCTTTTACTGGATCCAACTGTACCCATATTTAAAGCACCTTTGTCCTGTAATCAACAAAATGAATTGCACATAAGGAAAAGGGTTCCTTTACCAAAAATAGAAAGTTATGTAGACATGCCTTAGTCTTTGATGACTGTGGAGGAGGATGGGTATTTCGTGTCCCAACTAGAGTTTTTACCGCGTCATCCAATTCTGCAACCTTCCTCAAGAGATTGGTCTTGTCCATCTACCAGAAACCGTTACAATAAGATTTTTTTGAATTCTTTGGGAAACTCAAATCACAAATATGTCTTCTGATATACCTTCAACATTTCATTTTGTGCACAAAGCAACTGATCTCGTTCTTGTAGTTGCTGCAGTGCTATCTGAGTAGCAAGTATATCTGCCTCTTTGGTTTTCAGTTCCGATATGCAGCTGAGTCACAAATTATGTGTAGTGAGAAGAATGGAATTATGAAATGAAAGTTTTGAACCTTTTGCTGTTTTAAATCATCCAATCTAAATAGTTTAATTGCGAAAAAGAACTCCTTAATCATGAGCTATACCAAATTGAAAACACACGGAAAGCAGATTGCTAAGACATGGTTTCTGAGGTATACTAACCTCACTCTGTCTTCAACGAGATCATTTATCTGCTGTCTTAGATCGAGGTTCTCTCTTTCCTAATGAGAAAAGGATGGTGATTAAGACAAGCACGTGATAAAATATAGTATACACCTTGATTTTGACTCTACGTACCTTTGCTAAGAACTCTTCTCTATGATGCTGAGCCTCCTCCACTAATTTCACAATTTGGTTTTCGTCTATCAAATTCTATAACATACCAAAAGCAAAAACGCGAGCCAATAAGAAATCACAACCATCAACTCCCCACAATTATAAATGAATCTGAAACTTACTGCATAGTCGGTAATGTCCAACTTTACACCAAGAAGGTCCCGAATGACATCATGAGTCATGTTTTCAGTAGCGGCCAGCCTTGTTTGTAGCACGAACACCTGATCCACTATAAAATTTAGACCAATATGCATTGAGTGATTATTGTGCTAAATTTTCTTACTGCTGTTACAAAATCTATATGAAGTAGTTTCGTTATTCCTATACCTTAAATTATATACCTGGCCTGCAGCTTAATTATTGGCTAACTCTAACAAAAATTGTTTTTAGAAAAAGAAAAATAAAACCTTAGTCCGTGAGCCAGATAGTAAACATTGTTCCATCACTAAGTCATGTAAAAATTAAGGCGTCGAAGAAAAGAAATCCAATAAAAAACAAAAGGTGATATTGGTTTAGGTTGAGATGAGTTATGAATGACAATTAAACAACATTCTAATATAGATTCTTGAGACCAGCATTTTAATTTTTTTATTTTTTCTTTTCATGTATTGTCCACAACCTTTATATCTATAATATGAAAATGATTTAAATATGTACTCTCCAATCGTCTAAAATGGTAAAGACCTCATTTTGCCTTCTAGTTGCAAGTGTCTCTAGTTCTTCCACACGTAACCTAGCCACTGATAGTTCTTGATCTCTCTCCTGATTCATCTGCTGAACAAGATTTGAAATGCATCTGAATGGTGAGCTCGAACCTCTTGTCCTTAATGAGATTTTCTCATTTTTCTCTGGTGCTGGTACCACTGACGTTGAATTTGATGTTTCTGTTTTCACTTCAAGGAACATGGACTCCAGGCACTTGTACTAACCAAGACGGATAAAAGAAGCAAAAGAGTATGATAATGTAAGAATAAAAGATGATACAAAGTTTCTGGTATTCAAATAAGAATATTGTTACTAAACTTGCTTTCAACTCAATGTGACCCACAAAATTAGCTGATAAAACATAAACTTATATTTTTGTACCTTTTGTTGGTACTGTGATGCTTGGGCTTCAGCATGCAACACAATTTCGGATATATACTCTTTGCACCTTTTAATCTTCCAGAAAATATACAAAATGTCAGAGTTCTGGGAGTCTGGTAATGAAATTTAAATGTGTTGTAATTATCTTGGGAGTCTGGTAAAAATACCTCTTTATCTTGTTCTGCATTTTCCTTTTCAAGAAACCTTATCCGACTTAGTGCTTCATGAAGTTCCAGTACTTCATTATGTTGCCTGCATCAGGGTTTTGAAAAGATGAACAAGGAAGAAATCAAATCAGAAAAGGAAAATAATCTGGACCAACTTTTCATGTAAAAATTATTTTACACTATAATCTTGTATATCCACTTCATCGACTAATCAGGTTGTTATGAGAGTGAAAAAGATCTACACCTACAGTTGATCAACAATAAACTATAATACATATCAAGGAAGGAATAGCAGCTCTAACCTAGATATCTGCTCATCAGTTTGAACGCTTGTGCTTTCTGAATCAACATTCTTGGGAAATTTGTCAACTAACAATAATCTCTCTTTCAAAGCTTGGAGTTCCATTCTTAGTGAATCACTGATTGAACGATGTCTTCCCACCTCCTCATCCATTTCATGTACCTATGACAATTCCATTCAAGTCATAAAGAAGTTAATATGTAAAAGACCAGTTCAGTTATCCTATTGAGCATTAATAATATTACTGAAAAAAGTAGTGGTATTAAACAATAATAAAATTACTAAGCTTCATCACTTTGAATTACCTCCCAAAAATCTTTTCCGTAATCCTTATACAAGGGAATCATACATGAAACTAACCTTTTTCTCCAAAACATTTATGGTAGACTCAAGCTCCTCAACAGAATGTTCCAGAATCTTGACTTCCTCGTCCTTTTGCTCAGCAAACAGCTTACTAGACTCTGACTCCTACAAATGATATTTCAGCTCCGCTAAAGGTGGTTTCACCAATAAGAATTATTTGAAAGTAAAAGAATAATCAGCACATACATACCTGATGTGCTTCCATGGCAATAGCTTCCTTTTCATCGGCCAAGGAATAAGCCATCTCAAGCTTACCAGTCAAGACACAAACTTCTTCATGGAGTTGGTCTCTCTCTATTATTACCTGGTTTAGTTCATCCTCAATGCTTTCAAACAAGGAAAGTGATTGGCTTTCCAGTGAAGCTGTCAAATTAGTAATCTCTTTTTCCAAACCTCTAATCACCTCTCTATGTTCATCCAATTTACCTTCAGCTTCAGTTTTATAGGCATATAAATCTTTCAGAAGCTCCCTTAACTCCACATTTTGATTAGAAAGTTTCTCAATCGATTCTTTAGCAAGTTTAAGCTCATATTGTGACGTAGTTAAGGCTTTCTCGGTATTAACTAGAGAACCTTCAAGTTTTCTGTTCTGAACCAGTATATCATCAAGCTGACTTGCTTTAGTCTCCAGCTCATACCGAACTTGGCTAAGAGAACATATTAACTTCTCAGTCTGATCCTTAATGTCCTTGCTGTTAGAAGCTGATTCTTGCAATAGCCTAAAGTCAAATAGTAAGCCCTCTAATAACACTTGCTTCCTCTCTAACTCCTTTCTAAGAGCCATATTTTCATATAATATGACATTGGGCAAATCTGGCTGCTCAGGCACCTTCTGGATTAAAACACATTCGTCTGTTTTCACCGCACCTGCATTGCCCGTACTAATTACAGGGTCTGCAACACTAGAGGAATTTTTTACCAAATAATGCAATTCCCCTTGTCTGGCTGATTGCAAATCAAGGTTCATAGTGGCATAGGCAAATTTACTGACAAGCTCTGTTACACAGCAATTGTACAGAACAAAAGATAAAGATCCTCCACCCACCATCTGAGAGAAAATATCTTCTACCAAAGATCTCATATTTTTCATAAAGTCTAGCATCTCCTGCCCAGTCAAAAGAATATCAGAATACATTGTCAAAAACTTCTTCTCCACATCAGTTTGAATTTGCAATAAATGCTCTTCTAGCATAGAAACCGAATTTGCCATCTCTATCAAACTGAAATGGATGTTGTCCTTTAGCAATTGATTCTCTTCTTCTTTGTGACAAACTGAAGATTTGAGTTTTTGAATCTCTTCTTCCAAGCTTGCTCTCTCAAGCATCAAGATTTCACCAGAGTGCTTCCACATAGCAGTCAACTGTTTAGAATCTTCATATGCTTTTGTCAATGCATGCAGTGTAAGATCAGCTTCCTTCACTGTTGCATGAGCTTCCATAAATTTGGTTAAGAAACGATCATCAGGCCTTGTCTCCCCATAACCGAATATCTGTGCAGAGATAGAGAATTAAGAGAATGTAAGAAACAGCCCTATATTCTTGTACTTTGACAAACAAGCAGTAAACTTAATAATTGGTCACTTATTTCTTATTTAGGCAACTAAATGGAAAGCTACATACCTCTCTGTCATTCCCACTCTCTGCTTCGTCTTTCTGCAAGCTCAACTGGAAAAATAGATCCTCCCTGTTCAGTTCTGTCATTCACCACGACATGATTTAGTCTTCTATTTGCTTTTCATATGACTAAATACGAATAGATGTGACATTTAAAAAACTGTATTTATATGAAAGGAAAAATGGAAGTAGTGAAATGATACCTTTTGAGTAAGAACAGAATCCATCATCCAATTCTCGAAGGAATGCAGACAACGAAAGATACAGTCTTTGAAAACCATCATATGAGGCATTTAATTCTTTACCCAGCCAAGACACTACTACTTCGTTGAGAACTGGTCTTTCAGTGAGCTTTCCTGGATTTGATGATTTGCAATCATCAGACTGAATTACAGCGGATATTTCAGATTTTAGGTCTATCGTTTGTTCAGAAGCAAAGTTTTCAATTTCACTTGACAAATCAGAGAGTGACGAACTATCAGTGCTCAATTCATCAGCATTTACAAGATCTTCATCCACATCAACTAATTGTAAGCTAGAAACATGTGCTTCTGTGCTAATAAGACTCCCGATGCCATTCAATCTTCTATTCACTTCAAGAAGTTGCTCTTTTATCTGATGCAGTTTGTCATGTTGGTTCACAAACTCCTGACATTTGTTTGCATTTGATATTGAGTAGTCTACTGTATAACCCTCAAAACTCGTGTGATACATCCTCATATCCCTTATTTCTTTCCTGATGTCCCGAGTTTCCTTGACAATGTCCTGAATCAAGTCCCTGTAAGCAGAAGTAAGCCCTGTAACACCAGTTTGGAAAGCTTCTGTCTGTATTTCTGTATCAATAAAAGACGCTTTAATTGCGTTCTCCATCTCAATTACCTCAAGTTTAGTTAACTCAACCTGAGACTTAAGATCATTTAGTATCAAATTATTCAGGACATCTTGATTCTCAGAAATAGTACAATTTCCAAGTTTGCCTTGCACATCAAGTTCAGGAATGGAAACGTCTTGAACAGCACCATTCATGTGAGCTATCTTATAATTATCAGAGAGCCATTTTGCTACAAGGAACGCAGCATCAGCTTGTTTAGTTGCTTTACAAAGTTGATTGCTTTTATGATTTATTTCATTTTCTAGCATCCTTATCATATTGGTCTTCTCATTTAACAACACTTGTAACTCAATTGCCTCCTCAATGTCTTCCTTCTTGTCTATCTGTTGAAATGCATTTAAGGTTACAGTTGCTTCCCTTAAGGAACTTAATTTCACCTCCATGTCCAATACCATCTTCTGTGCATCCTCCAAGCTATGTTGTAGCAGGAGAATTGTTTCCTCCTTCTCAATATACTTTTTGACAGCCATGTCAACATGCTCACAAATCCAAGAATTGACCTGGGGAAATGAACAAGAAATGCTTTTTACCTGACCATAGGCCTCTTTGAGAGATCTTGAGCCTTCCAGAAGGAAGGTTGTTAGTTCCAATATTGCTTTTTCCCAGTCTAAACTCTGTGACTTAATTTCCTTTTCTTTTTCAGCAATAATATCTCTTAGCTCTGTATTTTCGTGAGCAGTGGTGCATAACCTCTCTTCAAACTCTGACTGAAGATGGGAAAGCTCTTCCTGTAACTGAAGAATTGTATTGGTTGTCTCCATCTCAACCTCTCGACAGATTCTTTCGGTCTCCTGTTTCTGAGATAATTGTATTATCCATTCCTCTTGATATTGGTCATTAAGTAACCGTACTTCTTCAAGATCCTTGGCCATTTTTTCTAACTTTGCCTTTAACTCTTTGTTGCTGTTAAATTCATTATCTTTAGCAAGCATTACTGAGGCTCCCAATGTTTTTGTTTCAATTTTATTTGCTAAAGCATCGTCATTAACTTCCCGTGTAGAGGACAGAACTTCATCTCCAGAATCACTTCTCACAGATATTGTCCCAGCCTGTAAAATTTAACTTAATCTGATGAACTTCATCATAAAACACACATGAAACTCGGTTCCCTACAAAGATGAGCTTATGTGAAACTATTAACCATTAAATATTTCTCAAATACAGATTAGAATGTCCCTCGCCACAGGAATTTCCATTAATGAATAACAGTTTACTTAAGAAATAAGAATATTTGCTCAACATGAGGAAAATTGCTTTGGAGATGATTATATCTTCTTATATTTACATACACTACTGAGAAATTTTATTTTCTTTGCTGCTTAAATTTATTTCAAGTGATGACATTGCTAAAGATTTTGGTCATATTGACTATCTACCTATGCAGTAGACAATACCAGATCAAAACTACGACAACATGCAACCAAATGCATTGATGTTAAAATCACCATCATAAGTAAAACAGACTAAAAAACAAAAGTTAAAAATGTGTTGCATGTTATTCTTTCCTCACCAATGAACATTTATCTGTCTTTAGAATTTCATTGGGATGGTCAAAAGTGTTCAGAACCTGCAAGAATGGAAAGAGTTAAACATGATAAAGCAGAGGTTCAGCAATGTCTTCACATGCGTTTCCAGTATTAAAACAGAGGCTCGTATAGACTTAACTTGATTGTAATTCAAATATTTTCCCAGCTCTGATTGTAATTTACCCACTTCTCTGCAAAGAAGAAAGAAATTTGTTAGTAGTCTACTAGCAAATAGTTTTTAGGATTTTAATGCAATAATAGTATCCCCACTACAGACTATTTGCAATAATGATATGGAGAGAAAATGAAGAAACAAAATCATTTTTTCAAAAGTATAGACAACAAGTCTCATGTTCTCCACAATATATGCACTATTCACTTGTTCTAACTCGCCAAAAGTCAAGCAATAAAAACTTGTAAACTAAATACAGCTTCAATAAATTAGCATTGAAGCTACACCTTAGCACTTATCAAGGAATTCGTTTATTAGAATACACATATAGGATAGAATACAAAGTATCTCATTAACAACAACAATGATAATGATGACGATATTTAAGGCAACTGTCTACCTAAGCAATTTAGAATTCATATTCTGGCACTCTTCTAGCTCTTGTGCAGTATCAATATCCTGAAATATCAAAGAGAACACCAAGTGAAAACAGAAAATCTCAGATAAATGGCATAAGTAATAAAAGAAGTGGACCTGATTTACATTTTTCATGGAGAATGTAAATTTTCCTTGGAGATTCACAAGGAGCTGAACATTAAAGAAAAATACCAAACATCAGAAATCCAACCCAGACGAAAGTTGATATTTATCTTTCTAGAGAGGGAGTGACAAATTATGGGATCTAACCAACCTGATCACGCAATTCAGATAACTCAGTCAGCAATCTTTCCCGTTCTCCATGCTCATAGGTGTTTTGAGATCTGGTAGTAAGAACTGATGTAAAATGAATCATTGGTATCCAGTAAAAGATTAAGACTAAAGAATATTAACTGTCCACTCAGCTTACAGTTGAGGATGTTGCAAAAGTCTATCATTCTCCAAAGCAAGTGTTGATAATTCGGAATTTTTATCTATTTTCACTTTAAGCAACTGAATCTCCTCCTGCAAAGCCCTGTTTTCCTCCATGAGATACTTCTCAGCTGTCAATTTCCCATCTACCAATAACTCAAGTTGTTTGATTTTCTCCTTGTAATGCCTCAGCATACTTGAAGTATGTTCAATATCCTCTTCCCTTTGTCGAACCTGCCAAAAGATGATATTACTTTAAGTTCATGATGTTATAAATATTTGGGCCTATTCACATAATTCCGTGAAATTTTTTCTGGAATAGACTTTTGGTCTGGTAAAATTATAGTCAGGTTAAAACATGGATATCTTTCGGAGAGTTAATTTTTTAGTCAAAACATACTTACCAAACAATTTTTGTGGTCTATTTCAGCCTTTAAATTCTGGATTGTAGTTTCTGCCATTTTTTCTCTCCTCAGGGCACTAACCAAAGCAGCTTTCATGCATTTGATCTTCCAGATATAACAGCTCTAACTTTCAGTGAATCTTGTAATAATTATTATGCAATAACCCTTGACAATCTAACAACCCATAATACAAAACCCTCACCATAACTGTCATAAACTGACCTCTTTGCTTGGAATGAGTAGGTTGTGATCTGCTGTTGCTCTTTCTCCCAAAGAGTCATATCCTTCTGACACTTCACTCAATCTAAACTTCTCAGAATTTGGCTCTAAATTTGACGAGGTAGGAAAATATTTATCGTTCATCAGAAAGGACAGTTGACCCTGTTCAAGTTTAGTACATGTCTCAGTTAAGTCAGCCCTAAGATGCAGTATGGTTTTGTAGAAAACCTCCCCACAATTTCAAACTTCATCAAATACCTTCAATTGTTGAATCTGCCACTGCAGTGCACTTACATCACCAGAAGCGTCTTCATTCACTTTTGCCTTTTATTAGTGTAAGTGAAAGAAAATCAATTAATTCATATATTATCTCAACAAACAAATATTACATACCATACGTTATGGTGTGTAATTCAAACACAAACCCCAAAATTAAAAAAAAAAAAACAAATGCAGGCAGTTAAATAGGTGAGTACATTATTTTGAATAAGCTTGGCTCGCTGCGCAAACTTCAGAGTGCTTAGTGTTTCATTAGCACAGCTGCAAGGGAAGAAAAATCGACATCAATGATATAAGAAAACAAAGAAACATCAAGGAGCACTCGTTGTTCACTATTTAACTTTAAGCAACAAAGTTAACACAGACCAAATTGATGGACTGACATTCGCAATGACCATTGTCTTTGAATTTCCACCTAAAGAATCCTGAATACAAAGTTTTGGAGAGTACAACCATATTACTACAGAAAATTATGTACTAGATTGTATGTAATATTACTGAAAAAACAATCTCAATTTGTAGAACTTTGTGTATCTAACCTGAAGAAGAAACGTAAGTCTTGAATCTCTGTACGGAACATGCCTAGGCTTCCCATGGGCTAAGTCCACCAAAGTCATTATGACCAATCTAACAAAGCACTTAAGGTCAGCCATTTGAACACGAATTGTTGTGATAGACTTTATTAAGATTCAACTGAAATATATCAACAGCAAATAAATTGATAAACAAGTTCGTGATAGTGAGTTACCCAAGTGTTGACAAAGATTTGTTTATATTTGCTGCTTCTTTCAAACGTTCACTATCTGCTCCAGAGCTTTTCTGCCTAGATGAAAGTGCAAGTCAAGCCTGGTTTTGAAAAATAAATTGCAACGGTTTATAAAGATTCTGATGAAAAATATTCTATTACCTTTCAGAACCAGCCAAATCTACTAAATTTAGCCTAGCAAACCTAAAGTGAGTCATAGAATCTTTCTCCCATTGGCTTTCAATAATACAAGTGAAAACGCTGTGAGACCGACTGCTTTCACAGTTCATATGAGTAGCAGCCACCTTCCTATTTGCAGTGCCCTGTGTAAGTATTTAGGTGAGGAAGATAAGATTAGACATGATCAAGCACAGCACAAAACATTAAGGTAAATTTAATGGTGAACATATTTGAGTACAAAACCCAACCTGTAACAAAAGCCTGAGAACATCATAAACTGTTTCCACGCTATGTTCAGTAAGGTTTTCAACGTATACCCCCTTCTTCAAATCTTCTCTGAGCTACAGGGAGAGTATTGAGTTTTAAACTCTGTTATGCAAAGCATTAATAGTAACAAGTAAACAACAATTTTAAATCAGGTTAGATATTATAAATTGTGGATTACTTGCAGATTGGTTGATGAAGGCATAAGAAGATCAGTTATTTGCTCGTTGTATATCTCCAAAAAGGAACACTTGCAACTATATTTCAGCTTGTGACCCTTCCTACTCTCTTCTTCCTAAATCATAAATAATGCGTAAGAAAATTCAACATTTGAAACAATAGTATATTCAGGTAAAAACACAAACATTGTAATATCACACCGCTTTAATCCTCATAAACAAATAGTCAAAAACTCTTGGTGTGATCCCACTATCATCATTAAGGTATCCTTCTGTTTCCTTAATCTCGCCCATCATGGTATATGTTTTACCACTACCTGTCTGCAGACAATTAGCCACGCACAACTTCAGCAACAAGCAAAAAAATACATAACAGCTTGTAGCAAAGAACAAAACACTAAATCCCCACAAGTCACACTTACCTGACCATAAGCAAACATACAACTGTTGTAACCAGACAAACAATTCTCCACCATGGGAACTCCAGCAACTCTGAACAGGTTTTCCTACACCAGTTCACCGCAATAATGAATAACTAATGAGCTATGAAGAAACAATAATTTCATTTGATTCATGTGTCCACATCAGATACACGTGTATTGTCAAATATCGATACTCTTAGCTACTCTCTAACATGTGTCTAGGAAGTATCTAAGTCTTTATAAAAAATCTAATAAATCTACATGTGACATATTTAGAAAGTAGCATAATATAGAAACATATTGGCAATGACCATCGATTATCTTTTTATGGCTAATCTCAAAAAAGGATGCAAAAAAAGTATTCTTATTTGTGGCCAATACGAAGTGATTTACGATAGAATTGTGATTTTTATTTTCTTTTTCATATTGTCCGAGAGGTATAGTCTTTATTTGGATTTACAGAATTCGCAACATATTTACTGTGTATATACACACAACACGACACACTTAGCGAATTTCCATACATTCTAGAATAAATATGTATCTTCTTATCGGAAATATAGATTGCTTTATAAGTAATTATACTAAGCAATATGAAATAAACCATTTCCAACTCAGCCCTCTTTCTTAAAAATCGTTCACTTTAAAATTTGAAACAACATGCAGTTCGTATACGTTATAGTGTATTTCTGACAAAGTGGAGGAGACTCACCTGGGATAAGGTCTCGCATCCTATATGATCAAAGGTGAATCTGGTTTCAGGATGACCGAGCCACACCAAAGTTTGCGCGCTTTCCTGCTTCAAACACCTACCATGCCCTTGCGAAACCTTCTCCACGTTACTCAACGGTCGAATCCTAATCAGCACCTGAAAACGCAACCTCAGTTACATAAACGACGTGAGAAAAAACAGTCCGGAATCCGTTCGAATGTAAAATTACCTGCACGTTATGATCCGTCCAAAACGACGGGTCGTCTTTGAGTTCAAAATGCGGAACGTTGACGCAGAATTCCGTCTCCTTGAGCAACGCGCACGCACTCGGTCTTCCTCCGCCGAGAGAAACCCTGGAAGCGTTTCTAGCCGGCGTGCTCTGCGCCGAATTAGGTTCCGACTGCGGCTTCCCGACTCTACCGGAGAGCCTGGGAGTCGCACTCCCAAATCGATGCTGGCGAGCAGGTTCGAGTTCCTGACACTGAGAAGGATCCGTTATGGAGTTCAACGGAGTTCGAGGAGGTGGAAAGTTTATAGGGTTCTGCCATCCTTCCAATTCGTTCTCGTTCGTTTCGCTTTGAGGGTTTCTTCGAAAGGATGTTCGAGCTTCCTTCCACATTTTTAGCTGATTCTGATTCTGATTTGCTCAAGAGCAAGCTCCTTTGTTTACTGCTGCTGCGGGATGGAATAGGAGGACCCGCCTCATTTCAAATTCAACTTTCCAAAATTGTAGCCGTGCCCTTCAACCGCTTCTTTTTGCTAACGTCACCCACAAACACCTTTTAAATTTCAAACCGAAGCTCGTTGGCTTGGTCCACTTAACGCTGTGATTTGTCGAAGCTGGATCCTGACTCTACTTCCCTCCTACTAACGTTAAAGAGGTGGCAAAGGTTAAGTAATTGTAATTCGTTGATGCTGAAAATAGTTATAATTAGTGGTTTAAAAAATATTACACAACTTTTTTATTCCTTTTGAAGTACTCCGATGTTTAAACTTTTATTTAATCAAGAGTTGTTCTTTACAAAGAGTGTGCTCATTTTTATAAGGTTAATTATTTTAAATCTTTCTTGTATATTTAGCTTAATTTGGTTTTATATATTTTAAAACATTTAATTTGTTTATAAATGTAATAATATTGCGGTCACTTTATATCTAATCAGTGGTAAAATAGCTAGTAAACCAATGTCAGTTGTTTTAATTTATGCGTAATAAAATTTTCAAACAAATTCATGGTAAATTTTCAATCTCAATTTCAACATAGGACGCGAACACATTATTATGTTTCAAAATACATTTTATTAATTTTGGACATATCTATGGTATTGTATTTTTGTTAAACTTAGAAACTTAATTGTGTCTTTTATTAATAGATGATGGATAGAATTAAGTAAGAAAAATAAATTATACAACAAAAAAAGATAGTTAAGTATGTTTATAACGATTATTGTTTTCGTTTTCATATGACTTTAATCAAATGTAACTTAGACTGCAACACCCAATGTGTATTCCTTGCAAATAATAAGCAATTTCAATACTACGTGCTTGGTTGATTGAGTTGAGCGTACATATTAACCAATCATTAACCCAATTTTTAAAGAAAAATAAATACAAGTTAAAGAATTAATAATATATGTTGACCTAGGATTTGTTTGACATGAATTCAAAATCCTAAGATTTTTGCTTAGTCAGGTCTTCAGTTCCAATATCAGCTTTTTAAGAGTTGTGTATCCTAGAAAAGGGGTTCTAAAGTGGAAATGCACTAATTAGTAATTACCCGTTAAAAGTAAAATTAAACTCTTTTGATGTAGATTTGAAAATTAATATTTATATGCGTAATGGCGGGATTTACATTTGAGTTTTATGTTATTACGTGTCATTATTGTTTTCACCATATATAAAAGAAGTGGCCTACAAATTTCGAAAGAAATTATATAGTAATGAGTGTCAATTTGAACTTATATTCGTGCTTTTTCTAAGGTATATATGCATGGATTACTTTGCCATAAACATCTATTTAACGTTACAATTTCAAATAAAAAACGTAGAATCATGTGCAATTGTCCTACAAATTTAAACCGAGGTAATAAGAACGAAACTGATTAGAACAAAATAATAGAAACGAAGTTATTATGTATTATAAAAACAGATGGTAAACATTTTATATCACAGTTCATAAAAAAAAAAGTTAAACTTTAAGGTGTAAATTTCTTTTGTTAAAATTAGAACAATTATGAATTGCTTGGTTGTGTTTCATTGATTTTGTTTATTGTTTATTTGTTTTTTATGTGTATTAAAAAAATACTTTAAATATTTTAATGTATTTCTGAAATAAAATTATAACTACTTATTTAAAATGTTAGTTTGTAGAATAGTTCGTTACATGAATATGTAACCAATAATATATAATTACAATAAACATTGATCTATCTATCGCTCATCCAATCTCTATCCGTATGTATGTTCATTTCATTGTTAACATTATTAATTACAAGAAGTGTCTCAGATAGAACTTTTGCTGACTATAATTCTTTGTTGCTCAATTTAAACAATTTTTTATGATGCAAATTGCAAATATTTTCATAAAACAATTTTAGCAAAAATTACCCATCCTTTTGTATAACTTTTCTAATAAAAATTGTGAATTTTTTATTACTCGTCTAAGATACTTATTGAATTATGGTTATTACTTTTAAATCAATTTCTTCTTCTTTTTTTATAATAGTAGCCTTTTACTCTCTTTTCATATTATTTTATATAGGACTTATGCTTGTTTAATAATCAACTTATGCTTGAATTATTATTGTCGACATTAATCTCTCTCTCTCCCTCCCTCCCTCCCTCTCTCTCTCTCTATATATATTATCGAATTCAAAACTAACAATTAAATATTTTGTTCCAACACAGCTTATTTAACAAACAATCAATAACTTACAACAAATTTTATTCATTCAAATGGCATAAATCTAATCTCAAACATTAAATTTAAACAACACACGACTTTCTACAAAACTCAAAGACACTATGAGCACATCAACACCTTCACATTCTAATAATCTACCACATGGTCCTATTGAAAACCATAAATAATGTACTTATCTCCCAAAGAATTTCCAAAAATCCAAATAATAAAATCATTCTAAAATATAGATTAGATATTTGATACGAGATATGGAAACATGACAAATTTTGAATTATGTTAAATTGAAATAATATTTTTTTTCAAGTAAGACAAAATCATAAAAATAAAAATAAAAAACAAAAAATATTTACAATAAATAATAACCAATTATGTTTTTTTTTTAAGTTAAAAACAATCCTTGATTCACAAGTATTGCAAATTACAATCTAAGACGAAGAAATCAAGATAAAAAGAGAAAATAAATTATTTCATTTAGAGGTGGAGAGATTACGAGTCTCTCACGTACAAGCTTGGAGTACTCAATGATAAAATGTTCATGTTTACTCATTCCAAATTTCATGTTTTAAAAAAGAAAAATCTAAATAATACTCTCTATCACTATGTTCGTTCAAAGAAAACTTTCTCTTCAAAATTTATATGCAAAAGTAACTCTTTCGGATATGGAGTTGAGTCTCTTACTCAAAGCACTTCAAAATGTTTTATGGACGAGTATCTGTCAAAAGTACTTCGATGCTTAAGTCAATAATATAACTGAACTACAAGGGATGCATGTATTTTGCATAATATTCCTAAAGTCATATATGCTATCTTTATTTATATTAGTTGCGATGAGCCTTTATCTTTCGCTAGTCTAATGACCGCTCAACAACACCTTAATCTACATTAAGGACTTAATGAGTTATTGTCACTGATAATCTGACCATACTGTTAGGTCATATTGGGCACGACCTAGGCTTGGATGGATGACCGAAGAGGACAATTTAGGTGGACGACTTGGGAGGACGGCCTAGATGGACAGCCTGGACAGACGGTCTGAGAAGACGACCTGAAGAACGATCTGGAAAGATAACCTAAGAGGACGAGAACAACCTGGATGGTCGGTGTTGGTCCTTGACTAAATCGTAAGGTACATTAATTAAATATTATTTTTTTATCTCCATTATAAGTCATATTTGTTGGGTCACTTCAAAACATTATTTGGTAATAAGAAATAAAAAACGTTATTCTTTACTAACAACACATTCTTTCAAAACTCTGTGAAAAGTCTATCATTATGTTTTTTATATTCAGAGGGTGTTCAATCTCAACCAAGCATGACAAGAAACCAGGTATGACGTTGTGCAGTGTGAATAGCTTTGTTCAACTCACTCTTACGAGTGCAATAATACTTCACCACAAAGTCATTTTGAGCTCATTTACAATTGCAATTATACAGGATACAAAATTTCCCAAGCATTTTCCCTAATAAAAAACATATATCTCTCATAATTGACCAACACTTAACATATTTTTTTCCATTCCCATTCCTAGATACTATGTTCCCTCACTAAGTATCCGTTTTGCTCACCGTGAACAACAAAATGAAGATAACGCAGTGCATATCTTCTGTTTTGGTAAGCCATTTCGCAGAATTGAGAATAATAATAACCACACTTTATGAATGTAAACACAATTACACAAACTCTCTCTGCCCTCTAACAAAAGAGTGGAAAACAATTAGAATTAAAGTCTCAAACAAGTCTCACCCTCGCCTGAAAATAAGCCATAACTAGCAAAACTAGTAGGCAGTGTCTCCAAAGAACAACAGTGCTCTGTCCTTTCGATATCATGTTTCCAGGGGCTAAGATGCAAAACAAAAAACATAGACATCATAGTCAGTATAAAATTAGTTTTTTTTTTTTATAATTATTTTTCAAATAAAGTAGTTTATATATGTCTGAATAGTTTTATTTAAAAGATTAAATAAAAACCAGTATAAAGTGTGCAAACTTCCAAAGTTTCTTACCGCATTGCCTTGTTGAATTAGCAAAACTTGAGCAAAGACATAGCAAGCCTTCTGTATCAGTATCAAAGCCACATGTCCCACCAGATTTTTTGCAACTTTCACATCCAGTGTCTGGCACACTGAAAGAAAGCTTGATCCCGTAAACCCAGTCCAAAGGGCCAACACCCTTCAAATTTTCGGTGTTAATCACACTTGTATAATGTGTGCAGTCTAATATGTTCATGCTCATGAACTTTACAGTGCCATAAGTGGTGAAACAGCACGGTGGGGAACTGTTGGTCAACAAATGGAAGACCCTGAAGGCATTGCACGCGCCATAAAGCTCGTCACACGTATGGCCAGCGAAGTTGAAGCAGAGATACTTGTAATGGTTTAGAACAGGAGAGTCTATGGAGCAGTTTAGCAGCACGAAAACCGTGTCCTGTGATGGAGGGATTATGGCGGATTGAATATCGGTCATTTGGAAGTCGTGGTGAGGTTGGAGAATGGAGCAGGTGGACATTGCAGGATCGTAGACTACCATGGAGTTTTTTTCATAGTCAATGGACTGGACTTTGTAAGAGCCTGAAGGGGTTTGAAAGAACAAGTCAGTGCTGCAGTTTAGCATGTGTCTGAACTGGGGTGCACCGCACCCATCTTCTAGGCCAAAGGGGTAGTTTATGGGAATGCTGCCGCACGAGGTTTTGCAAGGGGAGGAGGAGAGTGTGAGAGTGGGAATGACTTGGAGTTGTAATGACAATGTTAGCAGGAACAGTTTGAAGAGGGTGAATGGTTCTGGTGAAATCTTCATCTGCATGTTAGAACTCAGAAGCTAGCAATGGTAGAACTGCTTGGATTGGATTGGAAGGAGAAAAAGTAGTGACTTTGGAACGCTTGTTTTTCTTACACAAAAAAGTGTACAAAAATGACCGTAATTTACTCGAGTAAGTTTGAATGGCTTTTCGAACGTTGGACACAGGCTGTGATGGGATCCACACCTTGAAAAAAATGAAGCACTTTTGCTAGTTTCCATCGGAATGCGTGGTTGTTCAATTATTATACTGGGCGTATGCACTCCGAAAGCTTGTGCCAATAATATAAAATGATATTTTCAGAATTTTCTTTTTATCCAAAGTTAAGAGGTAAATTTGTCAGTATCCGGTTTTAAAAATAAAAACATTAGTTTCTATGTTATGAAAAAAGTGGATAGCGAAGAGAGAAAAGAAAAAGTACGACGCATGGACTTAACGTTGTTAATGTCAACTTAACGGGTATAACCTTATTCATATACTTTTCATAACATAGTTTAATCAATGTTTTCATTTTTAAAACCGGATACTAAACAAAAATTCATCTATAAGGACAAAGTAAATATTTAAGTCTAATTTTTACATATCTATAGCTTATTATTATTATTATTATTATTGATTGAAAGTAATTTTGAATCAGTTACAAAATAAAACCTAAATAATATTAAAATATTATTAAAAAAATGTTGTGGCAGGAAGAGTCGTAGAGCTGCAAATTTATTAATTCGATGAAGAAAATTTGGCACCTACATATGTAATCGTCCTCGTCCTATAGGCTTACATTTTGAGATACAGAGGCTTTTGATTTTCAAACTGATGTTTTCTTTTCTATTTCTCATGCTTAAAAAGATACAGGTAATGGATGATTACTTTATATCGGTAAGTATTAATATATTCTCAATTTTAATATAATAAATTAATAACAAATAATATGAACACTTTTAATTTTAGTAGTTTATTTATATTTTACCAATTATTGGGACAATTAAGTATGTTTTATGTTTGACTATTAGCAATAAACAATAATTACGTATGGCTAATAAAGTTAATAAAATAATTATTACAAAATTTAAATTTATAAACTAATAAAGTAGGTTTAAAAATACTCGTTTCAAGATGGGATAATTGGATATTAAATTTAATTTTTCTTTTAATAAATACATGTAACCGTTGATAAAAAATATTTTATTATTTTAATTATTGGTAAAATTTAAATAAAATTAATAGAGTTAGTTTTTTTTATTAAAGTTGTTATTTTGTTATTACACTGCAGTAAAAAAAAAGATATATTACCATTGAAATATTTTCATGTATATAATTTATAAAAGATTTAAAGCTGAACATTTTCTTTTTAGAAAACTATATATTATTTATATTTTATTCCTCAAATATTTCAACATGGGGATGTAGCTCAAATGGTAGAGCGCTCGCTTTGCATGCGAGAGGCACGGGGTTCGATCCCCCGCATCTCCATCTATTAATTGAATTTTTCTCTCTGATTTTGAAAAGTAAATAACATTCTTTTTGTTTCCTCTTATCTCGAAAAGGCGGAATCTGCCGTATAAAATGCAGACACATTCCCGCCAATATGCAAGAGCTGGTGCGCAAAACTAGGGTTTCTGTTCAAGAACTTCGAAGGCCCCTCAGCTGCATTGACCATGGCGGAGGACCTTACTCAGATCGCTCACTTGCTCAACAGCACCCTCAGCCCGGACGCCGCCGCCGTCCGCGCCGCCACGGACTTGCTCGATCGGTTCTCCGTCAATCCGCAATTCCCTTTCCAGCTCCTCATCCTCTCTGCTGGTATTAATTTCATTTCCCTATTCAATTGCTCCTTCCGGAGACAAAACAATCGTGATGGTTTTCGTTTCGTGTTTTTGCGAACAGGAGCAGGAAATCAAGGCCAGAAAATTGCCGCTGCTACCTACCTCAAAAATCTCACTAGACGTAACGTCAGTAGCTCCGGCGAAAAGCCTTCGAACGTGAGCAAGGAGTTCAAGGAGCAGCTGATGCAGGTGTTGCTTCAAGTCGAGTTATCCGTTCTCAAGATTCTAGTTGAAGTGGTATGACTATAGTCATTTTCGCTCTTTAACTGCTTTTATATTTACGTGTATATGTGTGTGTGGGTACTTATTTATGTGTGTGTGTGTGTGTGTGTATATATATATATTTGAATCTGACTGATGACCGATTCTGTGGATGCAGTTCCGCCCCATTGTGGCAGCTGATTTTGTTAAGCAGAATTTGTGGCCCGAGCTTGTGCCTAATTTGCAGGCTGCTATTCAGAATAGTCATCTTATCAACGGTTCAAACACTAAATGGAATACTGTAAATGCACTTATTGTTCTCCATGCTCTTATTAGACCTTTCCAGGTATTCAAATTTTAAAGTATGTGGTTATGAGTTTTTGAATTTTCTGTTGTTTGTTGTAATTTGTCGTATTGTGATTCTGTGTGAAAGGAATGCCGGTATTGATAATTTGTTCAAAATTTCTTTTGCTGGTTGAGTTGATGTATAAAGGAGGGAAAAGAACTTGTCACCGACTTGTGTCTTGCATTGTACGAATTTACATGTGCTTCTCTAATTGATTCTTTGCCCTAGTTTATGTGGTCTTAAGTTCATTCGGAATCTTTGCCAGTTTTGTTCTCTGAAACATTCTATTTTTAACAGGTTTTTACTTTAGAAAGATTTTTTGTCTCATGTGCATTTGTGTCCTGGTTAGCCCCATTCTGAACTTTAGGATTGTACTTCTTTCTATAATAACACTTTAGCTCTCTTTCTGTTTTTGTATAACTTTGTATGTAATGTGATGCTTGTTGAATGGCTTACGGAAATACAAACTTTTAACCATTAAATGGAGAAGATAATTGGTGGACTTTGGTTGCCTTGACTCGTGTTCAAATTCACTCCTTCATCTTGCAGTATTTTTTGAATCCTAAAGTAGCTAAGGAGCCAGTACCGCCACAGTTGGAGCTTATATCGAAAGAAATTCTTGTGCCTTTGCTTGCCGTTTTCCATCAATTTGTTGAAAAGGTATTGTCTTCTTATTTGTGTTCCTCACCTTTTGGCATGAGTTTCACTTCTGAGTGATTTAATGATGCTTGGATCAGGCTTTAGCAACCCATGTCATAGCAGAAAATGAAACTGAGAAAGTCCTTCTCACTATATGCAAATGCCTACATTTTGCGGTAAGTATAGACATACAAAAGTCTACACTTTAGTTATTTTCTACATTAATGTGAACATATTCAATCATGGTGGAGCTAAACCTTTTAAATGATGTTATTATCTAAATGGCATTCTTCAGTTATCTTCTGCCCGTATTGATTGTGATGCCTGTACCCTCGTGTAACTTTGCTATTAAATTCTGATAAGTGTACTGCACTTCTAAAAGTTGGACTTTGATGCTGAGTTTTTGACTTGTCGGCTTCAAGTGGAATTTGTGGCATCCTGATGGTAATTTGTCTCAATTTGATTACACACTGGCTATTTTCAGTATTGAGTGTAGTTTTGTTGAAAGCACATTACATTATACTATTTTCTGATAAATTATGGATGAAAAGTTCTTGGTGTAGGTCTCCGTGTCTCTTATTTATAATGAAAATTCAAGTGTGTAAGAGAGATAGATCCATTATTCTCATCTTGTTTAAGTTACTACTGTACTTGTTCAAGAAAATTTGGTTCTTTGAGTGAAAAGGAAAATTTCAGAAAGTGTGGCGCATTATTTTCTCTTTTACTAGTTTTTATTTTGTCCAAGACTTCAGCCTTAATTTTTTTCCCTGTACTTAACATGCTTTATTCTGTTTTGCTACTGCTACTTTATATCCCTTCTAAATTGATGTTTCCTTTTCCTTTTACACGACATTTTTATTTGTAGGTGAAGTCCTACATGCCATCAACATTGGCTCCTCTGTTGCCTTCATTCTGTCGAGACCTAATGAGCATTTTGAGTTCTCTGAGCTTTGATGGTACAGTCAATCAAGATGATGAATATTTGACCAGATTGAAGACTGGAAAAAGAAGTCTTCTTATTTTCTCTGCCCTTGTCACCCGGCACAGGAAGCATTCTGATAAGTAATGTGGCTCATAAATTGTTTTTTAATTGAATATAATTCTTTTTACTATTGTATATTGAATCATATGCTCCTCATTTTCAGGTTGATGCCAGAAATTATTAAATGTGTTTTAAACATAGTCAAGTTTAGCAAGAATACGAGTGTAAGATATTTTCATTTCTTGTGCTTAATGACTGGTTAGTTGGCCTGAACATGGTTATGATTTCTACTTTAGCTCTTCGTCTGTCAGAATTCTAAAATACTTAGCGGTGCTTTTCCTGAAACCATTGTCTCCTCAGCATTATATGTATTTTCCAAACTGCTTCAAAGTCTTTATTATCTTTAACTTGATTCTGGAATTGTCTTACCTTGATATTTGTTGTTATAGTTCCTCATATTTCATTCCAAAATTTGAACTGTTATGTTCCTCTTGCAGCAACTTCCTTTCCTGTCTGAGAGGCTTATGTCCCTAGGTTTTGATGTAATTTCAAATATACTAGAGACTGGGCCGGTAGGTTTTTTTTTCTTTCTTTTTTTTTTGTTTCAATTGTTAGAATGCTAAAAAACGTGAACTTTTCAGTGAGCATATTCTTCAAAATACTCATCATTGATGGGCTTCCGTGTAATTTAATGCAGGGATGGCGTTTAGTTTCTCCACATTTTTCAACTCTATTGGAATCTGCAATATTTCCAGCATTAGTATTGAATGAGAAGGTCAGAATTTATTGAAACAAAAGTAACATGAATAGTGTTTTTGCTTAAGTGGAATAAATCAGTCAAAAACTGTATCTTATATGTTTTTTCTTGTTATTTTCTTATGGAAATGTTGATGAATAGGACATGTCAGAGTGGGAAGAAGACCCAGATGAGTATATCCGGAAGAATCTTCCTTCAGATATAGTATGAGAATTGATCTTTGTCTTCTTTTTTTTTTTTTCTTAATGTTTAGATATATCTGACTTGAACTTATATTAGGATGAAATTTGTGGATGGAGAGAGGATTTATTCACAGCCAGAAAAAGTGCAGTAAACTTACTTGGTGTCATTTCGATCTCAAAGGTTACTGCTCAACAAAGATTGATTAATCTATGGCTTAGTTATTACCATTGTTCATTTTTGTCATTAATGTCTGCAGGGTCCACCAATGGAGACTGCCACTGACAGTTTATCAGCTTCATCCAAGCGTAAAAAAGGTCAAAAGAACAAAAAAACCAATC